AACTTCACTTGCTTCGTAGATATTATATTTAACTTAAGCATGTTAAACATTTATTGCATGAATTTTAAGACGCATAATGAGAGCATGACAGGGGAAGCTGGTTTTCAGTGTATTCTGTGTCATACCCTTTTACATAGCCATGTGACTTCACATCTTCATTGTAATAACTGTAGTTAGCTTACACGAGTGCTCTTACTAGTTCAAACATATTGAATCTAATGTAACAAGTAGAAAACTGTAAGTCTTGGTATTGTGTGTAAAAAGCTGGTTCCCTTTCCCATAAATCTTGCTTCTCAGTTTCTGTCACCTTTTAACAGAATAATATTTTTATAAAAGCAAACACAGAGTCTTGAGGTAGTGATGCACACCTTGAATCCCAGTACTTAGGAGGCAGAGGTAGATAAATCTCTGAGTTTGAGGCCAGTTGGGTCTATAGAGCGAGTTCCAGGACAGCCAGGGCTACACAGAGAAACTCTGTCTCACGGGGAAAAATAAACATGATCAAAACCAAAACAAAACAAAAAAGAAATGTATTAATTTCCCTAATCGTGGTTCATTCTTTTCTTGGAAATATTTTAAAGACTTGTTTATTTCTCATAAAATTTCATATACTAAGTGGGTATCAAAAGTAGTATTGCTTGGCTTTATTCACTACATATTTTATTTTGTATCTAAACATGAATTTAGTGAAAATTAGAATTTACCCTTTAAAATGTACTATGCTAAACATTATTGGAACAGAAAACAATGCCTTCTAGCAGGAGGGCACTTCCACACGCTGAGCAAATGCTGACCAGTATGTAATGTGTGTAGGTGGGGAATAGTGGAAGACACAGGAGAGAGAGGTAAATAGGAATGTTTAAAGAGCCAATGGTAACTTTACCCAAAGTAAGCCATAAGAAATTTCCAAGCAGAGGAGTGATGCTCTGCAAACTGTACTTAGGAAGATTGACCTAGTTGCACTGTGTGGGATAAGCTGCAGCCGAGAGATTGGAGAGAGGCCTTCCATTTGAGATACTAGAAAAACCAACAGGGCTGACAGCATCAACAAAATGACAGCGAGAATGGGCTGAGGAGGTGGATTTCCGAGCGATCCCAGAGGTGGGCTGTAACGGAACTTGGCAGCTGTTTGGCTGTGGGAGGAGAAGTCATCTGAGAGCTTTGCAGCCTTGTCTATGGAATGAAGATTGTTCTTTAGAACAGAAATAGGAAACAAGAGGGAGGATCAGACTTTCTAGAGAGGAAAAGAATTTAGGATTTAAGTTTGGGCACATTCCATTTGAAGTGGTGGTGGGACACTTATTTTAGGTATTTACATTAAACAAAGTATGTAAAATATACTTTGTAGTTGTTGAAACACAAATCATTATTTTGAACACATGTCACTTTTAGTGTGACCTCTGGCAATGTTAATAGGGTTTATTTAGTTTAGTGTGATACATGTAAACGATGTATTTATTTATACAAAAGAGCAAAACAATGGGAAACTAAAGTCCCAATGAGTTGAGGAATTTAGTTTAAGGTGGAATTGGTGGTATATGTCTATAATCCCCGAACTTGGAAGGCTGGGAGAGAGGTGTTCAAAGTTGAGGCTAGCCTTGGCTACACTTCAAGACCAAACCTCAAAAAGCAAAACAAGACATATCAGCCAATAGATGAAATTATTTTATGTATTCCATCATAAGGTATTCAGTGGCTATTGAAGGCAGAATTCTCAGCTTTCATTTGACACTCCATATATCATACTGTTTGCTTAATCATCAAAATGCTACAAAGAAAAATTAGTACTTGTGTAGTTTTTCACTGCATAGTGGCACTGCATATCTGATAATCAGGTTGATTTTCTGAAACTTGTTATTACAAAATTCTGCTTTTTAAAAAATTGCTCCTGCTTTTTGTTTTCTTGAGAAGGGTCTCAAAGTTTGGTCTGGAACTCACAAAGGTCCACTTCTGTCTCCTGAGGCCTAGGATTAAAAGTGCTGACACCATCGCTGTACAAAGCTCCATTAAAAATTTTATTCTGGAAGGACCTAGTAGGTAGAAATGGAAGGAATGTAAGTTCTGAGGTCAGATATATTTCAGTTAAAAGAACTCCTAGTAATACTGTGCAAATGGTCAACTAGAGTGTTGCTGATTAGCATTAAATATTTTTGTTTTAGGCACTATGAAATGCTAGACCCAAATATGTATTTTGTGATTATGGGTAGTTACAATTAACATTTTGTTTTAAAAAGTAGCAAACTGAACCTGGATTGTTCAGGAAACACCATAATGAGAGATTACAAAAATATTTACTTTTCATATTTAAATGTGTTTTCCAATCTTCAAATACTGTCTGCTTATTGAGACACGAGAAGAAACTTTTAGCTGGGAAAAACACAGAGAAGACCAGCCACAGTAATGAAGAAAATACTTTTCAATGATAAAAATAAAGACTTTCCAAGAATGCAGAATTCTTGGAGATCAAGTATTACAAAATTATTAAGGGTCTAAAAGTTCTGACACTGATCACTCATCCCTCTGAAGACCCTGGAGGAAGACATTCACCTACAGACAGGACAGGGAAAGAAAGACTGTATACCAATCTTGTACTTAAGCAAGAGTCCCTTCTACAGGTTTGTGAATGGGCTTGAGGAGATGCTACCCCCATGAATTTATCTAAATTTGGTTAGACACAATGTTCAAAAATTCAAGCAGACAGAAGTCACATCAAGTGCTACCATTTCTATTTCTAATCTAGCCCCAAACCTATTCAAGGACGGGATAATTTATGTCATTAAAGACAACAAACAGCCAGAGGAAGACATGACTATACCCCATTGTTTACAGAAACTGTGGCCTTGTGAATCATTTCCCAGGACACTTAACTACCATGTTCCTGAAATGACCTTTTCTTTTCCAAGAAGGAAGGCAACAAATAAAACAGGCTAAGATCAGAACAAGGGCTATCTAGAGAGTGACTGACTCCCTCTCATATGTTATGGGAACAGTGTCCAACTAGGTTACCTTTGGAGGAAACCTGCCTCCTGCACATAGTATCATTCAGCACTTCCTTGGCTGATCATGCAAGGACAAAACGAACTAGAAGCCATAGAAATAATTTCTTAGGTGGGCTGTCTTACAATGCCCCTTTCCCTGTGTTAATCAGGTGCACTAAAAAGCACCGTGAACACAAATGCTCTCGATGCAGGAGCCACCACTGCTCAGAGCAGTGCCCTGCAGTCGATGCAAAAGGTACTGTGGGCTGCAGGGAGGTGCTCTGTGCTGTGTCGTGTTCCTCTGCACACTCACTGTTAGCATAGACACTGTCTCCCTGCTAGCACCCTTGTGGTAGGTTTCAATAAATCCGTATCTGACTGGGTATTTTCTTCAGTTTCTATACAAGGGACAAGCTACCCGTCTACTGTAGCAGCAGGCTGTAGATGCTGTTCTCTGGCAAAAACTCAATGTCTGGGTTGATAACTGGTTGGACTATCAAGAGTAAAAGATGTACCAGTAATGTCCAACGGGTGGTTAAATGAAACACCACCCTTAATGATGCAGTTTTCCTCCTTTTATCTGTGACTCTTCCTAGTATGTCATGGTAAGTTCAGTCTAGATCTTCTGATTGGGAGCTTGTTGTAGATTGGATAAATGAGGCTAAAATAACACTGTGAGAACTATTATGGGTTTTATAAGAATGTAGGAAGCACTAAAGTCAATGATAAAGTTTAACAACTCATTACAAAGAAGCTTCCCAAATGCTGTTAACATTCTGGATGTCTTGCGTGCCACTTGGTTGATCATTCATGTCTTCCCCAACTAGAGGACACCCAAGGACTCGAACTTTAGTTATATTTGTATCCTGCTTATTTTAGGAGAGTAAGAGAACTACTTTTCATGTGAGTAATTAAGCCGGCTGTCTCATCCTTAGGAAACACAAACCTTTACGGAGAGCATTGTAATAGAGACGGTACAGTTAATCCAGTGTATAAAGCACAGAACTAAGTAGCAAACTAAGTATTGCAGAATTTAAGTGTGTTCAATTTGTATTAGGGATAAGCTAAGGCATAAGGTAAGACACGGGTTAAATGGCCATGGGAGGACTGCCTAAGCTTTTAAGGATGCTCAGAAGCTGTGTAGGCTTCTTAATGGAAAAACAGCCAAACAGAGGTGGATTCTGATACTTTCCTTACGCCTTTCGCAAAAGCCAAGCTCCTGTTGAAGGTTATGAGTGTCATGGGGGCGGCTTGGGCTTTCTCAATGCCTTGGCTTTACTGTAGAGACAGGGCTGCCTTATGGAAGTATGCAACACGAGAAACATTCTCAGCCGCTGCACCTGCCTTGCTTGGGAGGGCCAGTTTCCCCTTTTCTCTTGTCACCCCCAACCCTCTGCGCTCGCTTCAGGAGTGTTTGCTTTAGGAGTGTTCTGACCCGCTGCAGGGTAGGACTGGGGGTAACTTTGTTCCTTGGATGCCTGTGTGGCCGGCGTGAAGGGCGACCTGGCTGACCCCAAGCCCTGTTTCGGGTTCCCGACCTTTCCTATTGTTTTACCTGAGTCTTTCCAGTCACCCTGACTATAGGGAGAGCAAACAAAGGCCAGGCTAATTCTCCTCCTTCTCTAACGCGTTTCTAGGGCTTCCCTGCGCAGTGAAAGTGTGGGGACCGGAAGCAACCGCGCAGGTGACCAGCGACACAGGGACCTGGGCAGGCTCGCCCTGCTGCGCGCAGAGCGACCAAGGGACTTCTCGCCCGGAAATGCACGGAGGGCTGGGCCGGAAGCACGCCTCCCGGCCAGAGTCCCGCCGCCTCCGCCCTCCTAAGGCTTCCGGGGGGAGAGGAGCAGGCGGAGCCGGGGCAGGAAGCTCGGAGACCAATCCCCTTCCTTAGAGCGGCG